ATATACTTAAACTTGTATACATTTTTAGCACCTTCTTATAATTGCATAGGAAACTTTATTGTTTGATAATATTATTTCAAAACAAAATTATAGTTCGAATTTCATACACAAGTTAGGTAATATTATTACGATAATGTACAATACTGCTATGTTTGATTAATCCATCGCAATTTATAAGTATGCAAATTTCGCCCATGTGTGCTCCTGGTTATCAACACTGTGATTTTTTTATGTTTATTCTTAATACTTATGCAATAATATTGGTATAACTCAAAATTATTTTAAACATTGTATTCAGTGTGATCGATTTAGAAACTTGTTTTTTATTTTTTTTAATGTAATTATGAAAACTGAATGTATTTTTGTTACCGGTAGTATAATGGATTATTGGACAAACTTAATCAATATAATTTATTATTATTATTATTACTGTTTCTAAGTATTTTATTTAATATGTGTTATTATTTAACCACAAACAAGTAATTTATTATAATTAACTGACCTAACCTACATATTATATAATACACATTAAACATACAACGTAGTAAATGTACCTAAGTATAATGGTATCTATATTATGTACAGTAAATTATAATACTATAAAAACTTGTTAAAACTGTGTTTTTTAACAACTTATTATATGAGCCGGATGAAACAATATTTTATTACATAAATTATGTAGTATGAACATTTAAAAATTATACTTCGATAAATTTAATTTAATTACAGTAAAAATGAAAAAAAAATCTTTAGGTATATTAGTATAAAAATCAATTATTATTTATTGTAAGTGAAAGTAAATATTACTATTCAACTTTAAAATATACAAATAATATATATTTATTTTATTTTAACAACAGTTTGTTTGTTACAATCTCGTGACGGTGACTATACATTAATAACGGTTTTAAATATTAACGTAAAACACAATAACGATCACACAGTGTCAATTAAAAATAATTTATAATACTCAAATAAAAAAATATGGTTTGAATAGTTTTATACCTTGAATTTAAAAAGTTTTCTTTTACACCCATTCAGCTATAAACAGGCGAATCTTAATTATATTATATAAACAGATCAGATGTAGTTGTATACGATTATTGGTGCGTTGAAATCTCGACCGATGTGATGAATGTATTTTTCGGTCCGCAAATAAAGTAAGTACCTATTATTGGATTATTGGGATTTAACATCTGGCAGAAAAATTCATTTTTGGCATTTTGTTTTTTAGACTAATCGCTATGGCCAGAGCTGCAGGTCACAATAGATATTCGACGATATATTGTAGTACAGAGTGCACTACAAGGTTAAACAAATTTTAAGTCACTTTGTCTAATTTCTGGTAAATATTTAAGCAATTGCCACTGTATTTGTTAAGGTACAAAATCAAATTATAATAAAAATGTTATAACATCAGATGTATCATTTTGATCATAATATTATATATACATTTTAAATGAATGTATGCCCACGTTTGACTATGGATGGTTAGAGATGTGAGCATGGTAAATTTTATGGGTAAGAGTAAATTTATGTACATTTTACCGAGATGTTTTTTACCGTTTAGGAAATCGACTGACCCTTCATTTTTAATATTTTTACTAGTGTAATAACTTGTATTTAGTTAGTCAAAGTAACCTATACGACCATGAATGCAGACACTGTATTTTAGTGTATAATCGCCTAATAGCTGTATAGGTTAGATGGGTTGGTAGATAGAAAACATTTTTTTTTAAGTATTCATTCTACATTTACACACTTTATAAAAAGGTTTTGAGAATGTAAGAAATTGGACACGTAAGATTTATTTGATTATTGAATACAAATTACACATAAAAAGTTTTTTACAAATTTTACCAATTTACCAAATTTTACTGGTAAATTTACTAAAAAAATGTTACCAATAAATTCCACAACTCTATAGATGATGCGTTATCAGTAGCGAGAACAGGAATTTCCTGAAGGGGACCAAAGTATTATTATTTTTATTTTGTATTTCTACAATACATATAGGTTAATTGTGTTATTATTGCAATTTAAATTAATCTCGAATAAAAGTTATCACACTATTGGGAATTCTCGAATACTGATAAAAGGTACAAGGGGTCCATTTTTAATGTAAGATAAATGTTAACTGTGAATTTCGGTTAAAAGTGGATAATTTTTATTAGAATTTATTAAAATAACCGTTAGACAACGATTATTAGAACTAAAATATTTTTACAAATTTATTATAGATTAGTTATATTATAATTATATCTATTACACTCGTAACGGCTCTCACATTTATGCAGTTTGATTTCGTCTACCTACAAAACGTATTGTCTGTTCTCACTTTTGTTATTATTTTAATTTTATTTTATAACACATCGAAAAAATTACAGCACCTGTGGAAGTTTACCACTGAGTAAACTATTAAAACTAAACAATTTCCTTTGAGAACAATGAAATCATGACGTAAAAATATATTTTCTTTAACTTCTTAAAAGCTAGAAGCTCAATAATAATTATATGAAACTATCAAGTCTGAATTAAAGGGGGGCACGGGCCCACAGCGGATATCGAACAATAGTGGCGGGTTGTACGTTTCCCATAATATATGGATAATGGATGTATTATTGTTATTTGGCCCCGGGCCCAAAATTATTTTAATCCGGGCTCGAAACTACAGAAAATTTCATTTATTGTTTACTCATTGTAGCAACTGTATAAAAAGAAAAACAATCAACAACACTATATCATACACTGAACAGATTTTGGTACAGTTTTAGATATATTGGTTTGAAATTTAATGTTAGAGTAAATACTATTCTATGATTCGAATTAAACACAAAATATTTCTTTACCTTAGCTCGATCCACAGACATGTCTGCAGAGATAATTTTCCTAAACAAGATTGTTCGAAATAAGTTCATAATATACCAAAGTACCTGCAACTAATTCGGTGATTGTACCTTCGTTTAAGTTATAGCCAACGAAATTGAATTTAAAAAAAAAAAAACATTTAACAAATTCTCTACATTATATAGGTAGGTACCTACGTAATAATACAGCGTTCGCGTTGGACCGCAATCCGGTTTGAGGAAAAAAACTTGTACCATCGATCAATCAGTTGGAAATGTTCTCAATTCGTCCTGCAGTTGTCGAGTTTAAAATATTTAAATCGTTTTGGTCACGTCGTATTCGTGGACATAAATTTTGTGCATACGTCTATAAAGCATATTATATACGATGTGTTTTAATTGTATATTAAAGTCTGTAATGAAATTATATCAAATCGATTACCTATATATACCCTAATATTAAGATTGTGAAAATATTTTGCTAGTATGACTGATAGGTAGGTACCTACCTACTATAAATATTTAATACATTTTGGTCAGCCAACACGTGCAATCTGTTTTATTTTTAACCACATTCGGTCAACGGTATTATTGTTATTATGTCTTGAGATAGTAAAACTATTTGTCTGAAATTCTGCATCGTTACACATTCAACTCTGAGTAAGTACCTATAATAATGATACACGTGCACGCGACTTCTGTGTATGTAATGTTTTGCCTTTTGTTAAAATAATAACTCGTGAGTTTTCGTCGATAAAAATTACAAATTGTAATTAACGTGAGTGATAACAAATTAATAAAATATTAACATTATACAATAATAATATAGCAATAATAATATTTTAAATAATAGTAAATAATAATAAATAAATAAATAATACAAAACAGTTCTGCAGTACAATGTTATAATATTATATTATAAATACGTCTTAAGTATTAAAAACAAAAAAGTAATGGTGGATTTTCCACAGAGGGAAAATGTAAAAAAAAATATATCATACCCGATAACATAATATTATAATACAATAAGGTCATATTATAATATAACAATATTGACTCTTTGGTTGCATTCGCTACCTATTCGAATATAATAGTAATCGATGCTGGGACTTATAATTTTTAATATTTTATTCCCCGTGCCGAATTAATATATAAAAGTATACCGAATTTAATGAATATATTACGCGTGGACCAGCTATATTTTATATTTATACGGACAACGCGTGTGCAGAATCCGCAAAAATAAAAATAATGCCAACGCGCATTTTCGAAATATATAGTTAATAATAGTATAATATTATAAAGTATATTATAATTATTATGTATATAAAAATATATATTTACTCCTGCGTATGTATAATAATATGATATATTATATATATATATATATATATATATATACGCATGTTAGCACTTAATAATTCCATGTAATCACAAATATTTTATCTAGGTAACTATTACTCGTAATCAATATAATAATATATATAAAAAAAATAAGAATATTAAAACCAGTAAAATAATAATAAAGTAAGTAATATATAATATTATTGACGGTGGAAAAATGGGTTTCTTCCAAATCCATCATCACACACGCTCGGGGGAAGGTGGTGGCAGCCCGAGAGAGAGTATATAATATTATAATTTCGAAGAGATTATCATAGTAATATTTTACCTTGTAACGGGTGTAATATTCTGTCATTAGATAAACCGTAAAAAACTAATATAATAATAATAATAATATTTCGATGTTTTAAAATCGGACTTTGGTGGGTGGGCTTGCACAAAATAAAGAAGAAATACGAGGTAGGTGTGCATCATAATCAAACATATACCATGGTCGTAGTACTGATGACTTAAGTCAGGCGGTCCTCCACCCCCGCCGGAAATCAAGTCTTTATTGTAATCGTACAGTTCGTCGACGCAAGACCCGTAAACGTTACCACCACCCCCGACGCCTACAATGGGATAGTGGCCGGTGGCCATGGACGCGGCCGTCGTAGTGGCCGGTCGGTGGTACACGCCAGCTGGTTGGTCGGCCACCGAGGACACAGGGACATAACCGCCGCCGTTGAACATGGTGTCCTTAAGCACCGGTTGGTCGACGGCCACGTGACCGTGTTGGCGATAAGGGGCGGTCGCGTAGGGTTCCACGAATTACTGCTCTTGGAGCTGCTGCTGGTGTTGGTGCTGTGGTTGATGCTGGTGGTGCTGCTGGTGGTGCTGTTGGTGAGGGTGCCTTTTGGCGCAAGGGTGCGCCGAAAGCATCTTCATCAGTTCGTTCCGCTGCGTCTCCAGCTCCTGGATCTGCGACTTTAAGTCGTAGTTTTTCGTCTCCAACACGTTCGATTCCTGTGAACAAGAGTCGGTTACAAATATGTTATATAACGTCGGGCTGAGTCGTTACGAAAATTACACATAATATACATACTATGTAAATTATAAATATATTAGAGCTGCACAGATTACATTCCTACAATACCAAAATGATATATACATTATAATACAGCTTAGGAAGTATTTTTTTTTAAACCGTATAGTTTTCCGATAGTAATAATAATTTCGTCACAAGACATTTCACTATTTTCCTCGCTGTTCCTTTCGATCAACACGTAAACATTTACATACTAACGTTGCAGACGGGTTTTCCTACGCAATTATGATAATGTAGGTAATAGTTATAGGTTATATTATAATGCTTATATTATAATATATTAGAATATTCAAACCTATTTGGAGGAAGCATATACATGGCAATATTCAGGCATTATAATTTTATACTGCATTCAAATAGGTGCAAATAGCGTTTGGAACTTTGAGGAGGGGGCTAAACTGTTAAAGCCTTAGTTTGATAATATTAAATAAGCTTAAAACAAAATGTAGGAAATGTTTAGGAGGGCTATGGACATTTTTTGGGGATCTTAGCCCCTAAATCCCCCCCTATTTGCGCCTATGTGCATTCAAAAGATCGCGATCGCTTCAAGGTGGAAAATATTATATTGGGAACAGTTATAAGTAATGAAATCAAAATAAATAATATGTGACAAGAGAGATAAGTTTGACATTTCTGATAGATAAGTCTAATGCTGTAAGATTGAAAATTTTCAAATGAAAACTTTTTTTTTTCATTGAAATTTTCATGAAATTTTCAACAACATTGAATATTTCTAACGACTGAAAGTTTTCAAGTTCTTTCGCATTTTTCAATTTTTAATAAGATAATAAAATTTTTAATCGTACGTGTTCAGTAATAATAACGATAGTGATAAAAAGTCCACTGATCTTTCATTTTTCCACTCACTGAAGAAACATTATCATTAAATGTTGATGAAATAAAATGTATTTTTAGTACACCAACTATAGGCACTAGGCAGAAGAGAACTACATACATTTTCAGATGATTTAAGCAAATACCAAAATTTATTTTAATATACCTAATATAAATAATGTATTCTACAACTCATTTACCTCAGTTAATTCTAAAATTAATAAAGTATATTAAACAGTTAACATTTTTATTTTATAAGTAAGTCGGTAAGAGTTTTGTGAATAAATGATTGAATGAATAATTAACAAATGGCATATAATTTTAAAAAAATAAATAATTACAAATTCCATTACAAAAAAAATAATTTTCAAAATGTTCACAGTTTTTGAAAATTTTCATGAAAATTTACAGCTCTATGTAAGGCATAACGTATATTTTTAACGAAAGATTTCACCAAGATTTAATTTTTTTTTTACTTGATGTAATATACTATATAGTATATTTCATATAGTTTATTTATTGCTACGACTTTCGACGTAAAAATGTCGTGTCAAAACTGCTATTTACACACCACAGACCACATTATAGCATCAATTGCTATAATTTACAGACGATTATTATCAAAATGTAAACGTGCGATTTCCTCGATTTCAATTTGTATTGAACTCAACTGATACGGACTGCCTACAACAGTTTATTATGTATAATATACGATATCTGTAATATTATTGAATCGTTATGTACCACGAGCGCGGTATGGTATTGTGTTTTGAAGTTAACATTTTAAAACCGGCCGCGCTCGCGTTTTCTCCTAAGAAAGTGTCCGACACAGACGCGATCGTTCGCCATACATATATCACATCTGCCAGCCATACTAATTCTAGAATATATATATATTATACCCGAGTTGACTGGTATAGACATATATTTTATATTATCAATTTAGGTGTGATTTTTTTCGATGAAAGTCCTAAGAAAAGCACAAAATTCGTTTAATACATCGAAGAACTTAAAAATGAAACTTTTATTTTGCATTTTTTTATATTTTGAATCAGGGACAGAAACCGTTACAAATTTTAACGGTTTCGGTTTCGGTTTTGAGAACGGTTTATAAAATTTTCTGGTTTTGGTTTAGGTTTAAAGATCGGTTTTTTTAAATTTTTCGGTTTTGGTTTCGGTTTCAAAAAAGGGTTTTTTAAATTTATCGGTTTCAAAAACCACGGTTTTCAAAAATTTTCGGTTACGGTTTTTAGTTTCCAGTAATAATTTTTTTTTTTCAATGGTATCGAGAGTCGATGGAGGTTGTTGGACGTTGGTCGCAGTACTTCTTCCCAATAAGTCACACTACTTCGCCCCTTCCAGTAATATCTATAGACCTGATTTGTATTATCTATTAACTATTAAGGGGAAAGGGCCTGAGCCTCAGGGGTGGCACTGTCTAAGGATACAGATATATTGGGTTCTGATCAAGGGATTGTTAGGAATATATATATAAATATTATATATACATACTCAATAAAGGTATATTATGGTATTATACATATATTTTTAATAACATTGGTAATTTGTATCACCAATTGCCTATAGGAAATAAATAATAATTAATAAGTACCTACCTAATAACATATTACATGCACACAAATACAATATATTTTTGTATGTTGCAGTAGTTAAGACACTCAGTAAGAAATACTAAATACATGTACACTATATATTAGATATTATATTATATTATGTAGTACATAATATCTTCTTTCTTTTCAATATAAATTATATAATATGCCTTATGTCTGGGAGGGGGGAATTATAAAAAAAATATGTGCTACGTAAAAAATACAACTGTTTTAATGCACTTTCCATAGTGGTAGGAACTTAAAATTTAAACCATAGCTTCCTTAAAATGGTCTCATGCGATTAATGATAACTGCGGTCTGCGGGACAGCGGGACGGACGCGGATCAGTCGAATACGAAAATACAATTCTAATTAAATAATAATTTAGACGAATTCTTCAAATAATAACAATTTACAATACAGATGTGCATAGCCACGCATAGGGGCGATAAAAATAACAATTGTGATATTTGTATTTTAATTTAGAATCAACAAATCTAGTAATAAAATTTAGGTAGGTAGTATAAATAGAATAATATTCGTAATATCGTATTATTAATATTTCGTAATACTCAGTAATAGCATCGGGAATTTTTCATACATATTAATTCAAATATAATATTCTCTTCGTAGAAAAATACTTGTTTTAAGTAGAATTAATAAAAATAAAATTTAAACAATCTTAGAAAATTCTAAGAAACCGATATTAGTTTTAAATGTTAATCGGTTTTAAGAACGGTTTTAAAATTTTTTGGTTACGGTCTGGGTATTATAAATGGTTTTTTAAATTCTTAGGTTACGGTTCTGGTTTTTTAACCGAGGTTTTAAAGCTCTTGGTTTCGGTTTCGGTTACGGTGTTTAAAAATGCAAAAACCGCGGTTTTAACCGGTTTTTCAGAAAACCGGTTAAACCGGTTTCTGTCCCTGTTTTGAATACATTTTGCATAATATATTCTATAAGCATGAATATAATTTAAAAATATATTTAGTACTAACTATTTCACTAAAAAGAAAAACATTAAATAGCTAGTCTAGCTAGGATGATATTAGTATTTATTTTGCTGCGTCATCAGTGGCACAACTAGGGGGGTGTGCTTAGCCTCCCCCAAATATCCCTTATTGATTTGGACATATGGGTTATTTTAAATAAATAGTTTTGTTAAGTGTAATTTATAAATTTTTTTTCTAAATTTTAAAATAGTCGGTTGTACTAAATTATGCGGTTTGGTATTGGGTTTTGAAGCTAACATTTTAAAACCGACCCCGTTTTCTCCTAAGAAAGTGTCCGAAACCCAAGCCGACACAGACGCGATTGTTCACAGTACGTCATATCCGCCAGCCATACTGATTCGAGAATATGATGTATTATTATATTATACCCGATAAGAGCTCCGCAGTCCAACGACTATTTGAAACAATAATATATAATTATTATATATCCAATACGTTTTGAAGGCTACGTAGAGTACCTACCTCTACTGCTGCAACGGTAGACTGAATGTAGTGAATTTCGAGACGTGCACAACGGACTCTTGACCTTGTCTGTACATAATATTATATTGTTTCAATCCTAAAAAGTGACCGACTCTTGTTCGGCATTGCGCCCGTCGTATATATTGTACATAATAATATAATAGCGAAGGAGGTTGTTTTCAATTTCGTCAGAAATACAATAATTATTGCTCAACCCAAAACGGTTCGTCTATTATAGCCATTTATACAGAGGAACGCATAATACATCATAATAATATTATTTGTGATGTACTATTTAAACGTTTTAGTAGATAAATATAATGTCGTTGTGCTTTACACCGCCAGGGTCATACAAACGAATTTCTCACAGTTGGAGCTGTAAAGAGGTGGTTAAATATTTTTTATACTAAAAATAACGGGCAATCGTAGTTTCGTACGTCGAATAGATTTAAGAATATTTTAATTTTTAATCGACCGGCAAGTTCCTAATATGTATATACTATAATATACCTACCTACGTCAATACTAAAAACAATTTTAAACACGCTTTTTGTAAGTTCTCTTATCTCGTCGGTACTTGCCCTCAAGTAAAATATGTATGGTCTACCATAACATAATATTATAGACATTAAGACTTTATGACAACACCATTAATAATATTATATTATTATGTAAACACTCATTATAAATTCGAAAACGTGTTGAGTATCATTAAAATATGTAATCGCAGTAAAATGGAATATTATTGTAAATATGTACAGTGCATTCAGTGTACGACCCCGTCAGAGTATAGTGCGTATCGAAAGTTGATAAAATAATATTGTTGAAAATGTTAAAATGTCGCTATCGATAAATTTAAAACAACTGAAAGACGAATGTATTATGTTCATCTACGACGATAGTCGTTATACACAATAACATAATACCTATTCTATTATTACGTATTATGTTGAACAGGTTTAGTAAATCAGTTTGATTTTATTAGAGGTGTAATGAACT